TGTTGGAAAAACTGGATTTCAACCTGCCAAAGATTAAAACTAGACCCATACCTATCACCATGCACTAAACTAAGATTGAAGTAGATTAATGATCTAAATATTAAGACAGAAACACTAAACTTGCTGGAAGATAAGTTAGCTAGAACTCTTGAAGACATTGACATAGGAAAAGACTTTATGAGCAAAACCTCAGTAGCATGGGAACTAGAACAATGAATCAACAACTGGGATCTCATCTATTAAAAAGTTTCTGCACTGCAAGAGAAACCACCAACAGAGCTAACAGACAACCTACAATGCGGGAAAAAAATTTTAGCAGCTGTACCTTAGACAAAGGACTACTATTTAGAATATATAAAGAACTGCAAAAAATCAGACCCCCAAATTCAAAAACCCAATTCAAAAATGGACATCTGAAATGAATACATTTCTCAAACAAAGAATTAAAAGCAGCAAACAAATATATGAAAAAATGTTCAACATCACTGGTCATTCGAGAGATGCAAATGAAAACAACACTGAGATTCCTTCTCATCCCACAAAGAATGGCTGCTATCAAGAAATCAACCAATAACAAATGCTGGCGGGGCTGTGGAGAGAAAGGAACCCTTCTCCATTGTTGGTGGGAGTGCAACTGGTGCAACCACTGTGGAAATCAGTATGGAGATACCTCAAAGAACTGGCACTAGAGGTACCATTTGTCCCAGCTATTCCCCTGCTAGGGATCTTCCCAAAAGAATTAAAAGAATCATACCACAGTGATATATGTGCACTCATGTTTACCGCAGCACAGTTTGTAATAGCTAAAGCTTGGAGACAGCCCAAGTGCCCATCAACTGGAAACTGGATAAAGACAATGTGGTTTTTTAATAAAATGGAGTACTACTCAGCCATAAAGAATGAGAAACTAGAGCCATTTATAGCTAAATGGATGCATACTGAGGCCATACTCATAAGTGAAATAAATAGGACACACGTGTAAATACCGAATAGTTTCTCTAGTGTGAGAGACTGAAAGTGTAAATAAGAATTTAAATGATTAAAATGAATAACTGATAATTTGAAATAGGAAGAGAAGATCCAAAGGGGTAGGGGTGGTGGGAGGGGAAGGGGAAAGGAAAGGAGGGAAAG